TGTCTGTGCACCGCTGTATTGCTCTCCCAGCAGATATCAGGGTGATTAAAGTCTCCCATGAGAACCAGGGCCTGCGATCTAGCAACTTCTGCTAGATGCCAGAAGAAAGCCTGGTCCACCTCATCCCCCTGGTCTGGTGGTCTATAGCAGACTCCAACCACGACATCACCCTTGTTGCTCACACTTCTCAACTTTATCCAGAGATTCTCAGGTTATTGTCCAGGTGTAACAATAATGCATAGGATTTATAAAGTAAATATGAGAAAAAATGTCTCTGCCAACAGCAATCTGATCCAACTGATAAGGTTTAACAAAAACCATTTGTGCATCGTGACAGAGGTCAGATTTTAGTTTTGCAAATCTTTAACCTAACCTGGTGATGGTGTGCAGATCTGCATCTCAGTTTCTCTAACCCTGCTCCAAATCTGTGATAGGGGATAGGGTCATATAAGCGGCTTTGGATTTGACTGTACATCAATGTGCTGTAAATGGAAGGGGAAAATCTCCATTAACCTTACAGTTTTTTTAAGGGAATTCTACTACTGTGTTCCACAGGTTAGCTGACTTCTGGGCTCAGTGCTTTAGAGAAACTGTCACCAGGAATCAGGACGCTTATTTAGTCTGTATTTAAATTTAAAAACATTAAAAATAGTCTTTTGGTCAATTTATGAAAATCAAGGGATCTAAAACAACAACAATACTGCAGCTAAAATATCTTCTAAAGCTAGATGATCAGGAGACTGGTAATAGGGAGAGGATAGATCAACACATCAATATTTGTAATACTCATGGATTTTAAGGCCAGGAGGGACCATTATGATCATCTAGTCTGACCTCCTGTATAACACAGCAATAGATTTTTCGCCCAGTAATTGCTGCATCAAGCCCAATAACTTGCACTTGAACGTAGTCAAGAAAGACATCCCATCTTGATTTAAAGATTTCATGTGGTGATGAATTTATCATTTCACTTGGTAATCTCTTCCAATGGGTAATTATTTTTGCTTTTAAAAAGTTGTGCCTTGTTTCCATTTCTTTTTCGCTTTCTGAATGTTTCCTAGTTCTCTACTAATATGCTCCTTCTATCTAAGCACCTGCAAGTTTTGCCCTCTCCCAAACCTCAAGGGAAACCTTAAAAGAAACCATTTTTAGGAATGTAATTAGTCTCCTGGAATTTCTAACTGATGAGTAGCCAAAGTCCCAAACAAAAGAGCACAGGAAGGTTAAAAATGGGGAAAATCTTTCACAATTCTCAAACATATGTAAAGGATTTAAAGGATTTTTTGGCCCAGATCTTCAAAGGTATTTAGATGCCTAACTCCCAATGATTTCAATGGGAATTAGGCACCTCAATATCTTTGAGGGTCTGGGCCTTTGTCACTTCAAAAATGTCCAGTTTTTTGTTGGGTTACTCACCAGAGTCTGGCCACTAACATTGCTATAAGCCATCTGCAAGCTGAAAATCATACTCGGTGTCTGCATGCAAAAGTCCATCACATTTTTTGCTTTGAAAGTACTTGAGAGTAGGCTTGTTTCCTCAAGTCAGAGGGTCTGAAGAGCATATTGCAAAACATTCTGTATTGCTCAACCAGTCTATACTGTAGATTAATCTGAGACGAGACAGACATAAGCCACACAGTTAAGATCCAGATCTCAACTTTCCCCTAGAGTAACAGCTCTGCGGAAGGCCAAAAACCAGGAGGCAAATATGATTTTTTTAAAAGTCTTATGATTTTTAAGACAAACTCATGATATTTTTGGGGTGGTGGAGGAGATTCAGGATGTTTGAATTCTTGAAGTTGTTAATGCCGTATTTATTCTGGGACTGATTTCTGTCTAAACAATTAGAGACACAAAAACATGTCTCTCTTTATCCTTTAAATGACAGCAACCAACTCAATCTGCTCTGTTTATTATGCAGGGTGGAGTCTCGTTGTGGTTAGTGGATTCCTGGGACAAAAGCACCTTTGTTTATGAAACAATTACTCAGCTCCTCCAGGTTGTTCATGTGTTAAAAAAACAAGGTAATCTTTAAGATAATAAAAGGATACATTTAGCTTGTGATAGAATTGACATTCAGAAATGTACTATGTGCGTTAATAACTGATATTATGGGTCCAGTTTTCCTCTGGCACTGCATGAACAATAATTTGGTGTGCCTCTTTGATCAGTAGTTTATTATGCAGTATGTAATTTCCTGTAAAAAAATGTTGTCCCTAATAGTAAGAGGTAGGGGTTGTTGGTGCCTAAATAGGTTGACCAGATGTCCCGATTTTATAGGGACAATCCCGATATTTGGGGCTTTTTCTTATATAGGCACTTATTACCCCCTCACCCCAGTCCCGATTTTTCACACTTGCTGTCTGGTCACCCTATGCCTAAATGACACTGAGTTTTGGTAATGGTTGTGGAGCTCTGCAGCGTTAGGCAAGACAAAAACTCTTCAGGTTTTCTGATCCCTTAGACTAGTTCTTACAAATGCTCCAGAAGTGTGTGTAGATGGAGGGGGGCAGAATGGAAGGGACAGAGTGGGAGTTTTATTCAATGCCTGCTCATCTCTGATAAGACCATCATGTCTCTTGCAGAGACAGCCTGTCAGTTATCTGACTCAGATTTTACTTGGGGTCCAGTTGCTGCCACCCATGGAGCATGTTCTCAAATTGCAAGGTAAACACTCAGAAGTTTGGGACTTCCAGGTTGGGAAAAGAATCTGTTTGTGGGGAAAGTGAACAAATTTTCCATCCTTCAGGGAACACACTCTCCTTCTAGTACATCTGTTTTGTTGTTGCTGTTGTGTGCATGTGCGCACCACAGATGTAGCTAACACAAATAGTGTATCTTCTCCCTTGTGACAAAGGCTGAACCTCCTCCCCTAATAAACATTTGTTTCAGTTGAATCCCAACACCTACCTTACCCCAAATCATTCACATTAACAGAATCTTCATTTTCTCACAAGGTATTTTCTCTTTCTTTCTTTCTTTTTTTTTTTGGTGATCAGATGAGAGGAAGTTAATTTTCACTTGAATGATTGGGGATCAAGTGGATGGAATGTACAGCATTGCTGGCGGGATAGCCATTGGTTATCTTGTCAGGCTCCATTGAATCACAGCCGACACTGTTGGAAGTTTAGGAGTGGTTGGTGCTGGTGGCATTCTATTGCAGTCCAGATGGAGGCTTAATGCTAATAGCAGTGAGGTTCTGAATGGGAACTGAGGACATTCCTGACCTATCCTGCCCCTTCCAGCAGAGTCTTATAGATTGCTGCCATGTGAACCAGATACCTTTCCTATTCATCTCAACCTCCCCTCCCCACTTATCCTTTCCCTCCATCCCCATGAAAGAGCAATTACTCAAATTAGTTTACACAGATGTGTGTTCATGAAGCAATAGGAGATTCCTTTGTACCCTATCACATGATTTGGCTAGATACTTTAAAGATAGGAGTTTCAGTTCAGTTCAGTTTTTTTTTAAGGGCATCATCTTGGATAAAGAGATAGAGTGGGGAAAAAGTGACACATGGCACAATTGGGATTGTCGCACAGTTCAGAGAGGTATTATTTTGTTTATGCCCAGAAAAAAATTGGACTTCTGATATTTTTAATATTCATCATACTGCAGAAAAATTACTAGTAAAACAGAATACCCAAGTCATGAATAGTTTGCTTTATTTCTGAGCTGATTTCACTGCTCCATTAAACAGCTGCTGAAAAGAGTGAGCTGGCCATTTCAAAGTCACCAGATAAATGTTCATTATTTCAGCAGATGGATAATGTTGCATCTGAGTTTCATTCCCATCTCTGCCATGGTCTTTCTGTGTGACCATAGGCTAGCCAAGGGGTAGGCAACCTATGGCACGTGCGCCAAAGGCTGCACGCGAGCTGATTTTCAGTGGCACTCACACTGTCCAGGTCCTGGCCACCGGTCCGGGGGGCTCTACATTTTAATTTAATTTTAAATGAAGCTTCTTAAACATTTTAAAAACCTTATTTACTTTACATACAACAATAGTTTAGTTATATATTATAGACTTGTAGAAAGAGACCTTCTAAAAAACATTAAAATATATTACTGGCATGCAAAACCTTAAATTAGAGTTAATAAATAAAGACACTGTACACCACTTCTGAAAGGTTGCTGACCCCTGGGCTAGCAATTTAGGGCATGTAGCGGGGCGGTTACCCCGCTCCTGGGATAAAAGGAGTGAGAGCAGCTGAGGAAGGCTGGCTAGGTAGCTGGTCACAGGTGGCCCTGATAAGAGGGCTGTGACTAAGGAGCCCAGTGAGTCTCACTCCAGCCTTGGAGCGAGAAGGACCTAGCTGGCTGGGAGAGACAGGGTACCTTTGACATAGCAGTGCTGGGGCAGGGGCAGGCTGAGCTGGAGAGCTCAGGCCTGGCTACCTCCCAGGCTGAGGCCTGACAGGAAGGCCTAAGGAGGTACTGGGGCTCCAGGGAGACAGCTGGGGGCTAGAAAGGCAGCAGGTCCAACCCCCTTGCCAATGATGAGTGGCCATTACAGACTGCAGTTTGCCCCAGAGAAAGGGGGCTAGATGACGACTGGCAGTAGCCACTGAGGCAAGGTGGGTGTGGGTGTAGGAGGGGAGACCCAGAGTGTGGGGGGCACTGCTATGGGGCAGCGGGGTCCAGGAGGGACACAGGGCCAGAGGTGGTGGAGACAACGGGACCAATAACCAAGGGAAAGAAACTGGCTAGCAGGAAGTGCACTGAGGCTGGAAAGAGCTAATTCCTGGACTGACCAGCAGGAGGCGCCATGCTGATGAGTCGGTAACTCTGTTACAGGGCAGAACTTTCAAAAGTGCTTAAGGGATTTAAAAGCCCAAGTCCAACTGAAAGTATTGTGCTCCTAAATCAATAAAACGCTTTTGAAAATCACACCCTTGATTGTTCTGTGCCCCTGTTTCCCCACTGTTATAAATGCCTAAAAACAAGGATTTAGGATGGAATTGCTCACATAGTTAAACCATAGCAAAACTCAATCTCACCTTGATTTCCTTTCATTTCTCTTCACCCTTTGGCTCTAAGTATCCTAATACGCCTAAAACAAATGATTATTTTTCTTTTGTGCACAATCATGTTTTCCATTGTTTGAGACAGGTTACTAAGCTACATACTCCACATTTTTCTCATGCTGGGAGGGTGGATTAACATTTTTAGCAGCTTATGTAGCTCACTATTCTTCCTCATTTCTCTGCAGACATCATGCTTCCAATGGGGAGAGTATTATCGGTTTGGAACTCTGGGTGATTTTTACATTTTAACATACAGTAGTTTCATAGATTACAACCAATGAGGCATATAAGGTATTAAAGATTCAGAAGGTCCCTGGCTTAATTGCTCTGAAAATTAATCAAAGTCAGACTTTATATATAAAAAGATATAAAATGTATGTTCTCTCTTCTTTTCAGTCCCTCTTTATGGCATAGTTCCTTGTGCCACTAAAAAGGATGCTTGATATTTCAGAGCAAAGAGAAAAAATATAAAACAGGATGGTTCGTGCTGCTTATTCTCAGTGGAGATAGAGATACAGAGGTAAACAATTTTTCAGGTAAGTCTTGTACATGTTCTCATTTCATACATGGTAGTATCCTTAAAATAAATATTAGTTTCCCGCTATCCATATGGTTTTATTTTAAAAGGATATCAGAGTCTCAACTCTTCACCTTCAGTGTTTATAGCTCCCAACATCAGTGACAGAGGACCTGGGTCTGTCTTTCCAGGAAATATCAGTTATAGCCAGAATAGGCTTATGATTTAATACAGTATATTCAGAATCAGGGCCATCCTTAGGATTTATGGGGCCCTATGCAGTATTATTAAACTGGTGCCCCTATGCCTGATGGCAGCCCGGGCTCGCATATGCATTTTAGATAAGGATGGTCTTTTGAAGGATTTATTTAAAAAACTATATATCTGAAGCATGCAAGCATTTAAGGCTAAAGATGAATACTCAGATTGTGCATCTAAAATTCTGTGCAAGGATTTTTTAGAGATGTGATTTTATAATCTTCAGCAACACACTAATGAATATTTTTAAAGCAAATTTTAAACTAAGGTCCTGTAGACTAACATGTTCTGAGTAAATATTACAGTAATACCCAACTGTTTTTGTCAGTAAATTCAGAAACTGACAGTGTATATCTGGGGGTTGGCAAATGCCAGTTAAATGGCTTCATTACCACTTGAATGGCTCTTTAACAGTTTCAATGTTGAGCTAATAGGTCTGGCAGGCTGGAAGGCTTTTTCACTTTTAAGTACTAGATCCCCTCCTGGAGCAAAACACACCAGGCTGCAGCAGCCAGCTGTGGTGGGAGCCTGCAGAAAGGGTCAGAACAGGGATAGTAAGAGTTGTGTGGGAGAGTAGACACTAAGACCCAGGGTGCCCCAAATTTTTGGGTGCCCCATGCAGCCACATATGCTGCATATGCCTAAGGGCAGTCCTGTTCAGAATAAATAGTGGGGGATAAAAATAGTTTTTAGTATAGGGGCTGTTTCTTCAAGTTCTGATCATACTCCCATTGAAGTAAATCATACTTCTGCCATTGATTTAAATGGGACCAAATTGGACCCTTGCTTTAATAGCACACAGTAGAGATGCATCCGAAGAAGTGGGCTGTAGTCCACGAAAGCTTATGCTCTAATAAATTAGTTAGTCTCTAAGGTGCCACAAGTCCTCCTGTTCTTCTTTTTGCGGATACAGACTAACACGGCTGCTACTCTGAAACAGTAGAGATGGACTCAGGTCACAAAACTAGGATCTGAATTTGGAGGCATATGAATCTGGTCTTTAGTTTGAACTCTTCTCTACCACAGAACTTGTCTGATATTTTGTATAGATGTCGTTTCTTCTTAGTTCTCACCAAAAGCAATGGTTGAAATTGTTTCTATTATATTTTAAGGATATGAATAAAACCACTCCACAATTATATTTGCACGCATGCAGAGTAGAATACAAGTGTTTTCAGAAACTGTTTTAATTTCATACATAGATAAGACGAGATTATTTTTTACTGATTGTGAATTTTACCGCATAGATCCTAAGCCTTAGCAGTCAAGATTTCCAAATAGGTAAGCTATCTATGCAGCCCCTTTCCCCCTTTATAACCACTACACACACACACACACACACACACACAGAGTATATTCCATGAGAATTGTCTGCATGCATGTACAATATAAATCAATTTCCAAAATATTATAAAAGAGAAAAACAATGGACATTTTTTATTTTGTAATTCCTTAATATCAACTCATAGCTTGATTCCTCGCTGAGTTTTGAATTCATATACACAAATACTAAGCGGGTGTAAAATGAACCACTCTTTCTATATTATATAATTATGAGATTAAAGAGTCAGGGGGCCTTAAAATTCCACGTGTCCATGTTTTTGTTGCAGGAACATTTTGTTATTTAGTGTCCAGAGTTTGCCATGAATTCAATCCTGAAGGGATCCAGTGATGGTGGAATATGGTGTGTTACAGCCCCAGGCTATCTTTCCAAAGCTGACTTTGTTCTTGGCCATCATTATTTGTATAAAGAAGAACAGGAGTACTTGTGGCACCTTAGAGACTAACAAATTTATTAGAGCATAAGCTTTCGTGGACTACAGCCC